GTAATCCGTACGATAAAATGAGGAGGAAATAAATAGGGTTGAGCCTTTATCAGTCATAAGGAAGAGCATTGGCATCAAAATAAGGCATATTTTTAGTTTTTTAACAAAGATTGAGACAGATAGTCATTAGGGATCGAAACAGAAGGAGGAGCGAGGGACAGGGTCACCAATGATGTACGTGTGAGTAACACGTGCATACGAAAATATCCCTAACATTAACTAGGAAAGCCGAAATCTTAGTTAAGATAGACATGTTACCATTAATAATCAAATTTAATAAGGAAAAGTAACAGTTGCCGGGTACATTATAACGGCTTAAGAAATTCAGAGCACAGCACAGATGCGAGTACACAAGTTTACATATCTCGGCGAAAACAGAGACGCACACATTTGTTGAAGTAGTTCCACTTGACTGCCGGGGGAAATTCTTCTCTCTCCGTCAGCCTGTAGGTTTGCCAAACGGGTTTACTGTTTCGCCAATTGGCGCTTTTCTGTACAGTTTTTAAGTCCGTATCGCCTGTTTGGCGCTGCCGCTGCAACCTTAAACACCTCATGATCTTCGAATATGTGACTGTTGCAAGAATTGGGATATTTTATTTATTTTAAAAGCAATTACTTCCAAATTTTTACAGCTGACTACATAATATAGCTGCTTTGGAAAATAGTAACCAGAAAGTTTGTGTTGCCAAAAATATTTTTGTAATTTAATCCTCTTTGTGACAAAATACTTCGCCATGTTTCCACCTTGCGCGCATGATATTTTAAAAATGGCTAATGTTACATACTTGAAATTGGGTGGAATTCTTTATATGGGCACTATTTTCTAACTGAACAAAAATCTGATGAATATTTTAATATTGAAAAATTTTATGGACGAAAACATTAAAAATTTTGTTAATAAAATTCATTTTATAAACTTGACCCCAAATAAAATAAAAATTTAACATGAAATTTTTAGAATTCTAGGTTCACAGTAGTTTCCAAATGTTATAAAAGCTATATATTAAATATGGAATTAAATTATGAAACAGAATGTTTTAAACTGTGCGCGCAAGTTGCAAACATGACGAAAAATGTTGTCGCAAAGCGGATTAAATAATAAAAATATTTTTGGCAACACAAACTTTCTGATAACTATTTCAGAAAGCAGCTATATTATGTAGTCAGCTGTAAAAAGTTGGTAGTAATTGCTTTTAAAATAAATAAGTTATTCCAATTCTTGCAATAGTCACCTATTCGAACATCCTATGGGTTTTAAGGTGTATGAGTCCCCTTAAGCTATGTAAAATTCACGAGTAAAATTACAAAACAGTTAAAAACAAGTCCTTAGAGTTTTTTTTTCCTAATGGCAGATTGTGAACAGTTACAGTGTAACCCAATCCATTAATCTATACAAGGCCAGATGTGGTGGTCTCTTTATTATGGAGGCACCTAATAGGTGGACCACCATCGCCTCCTATGAAGGAGACGGACAGTTACAACCATGCCTTCTCCGGGATTCGAACACAAGCCCTTCGGTATCTCAGTCAGGCTTCCCTAACAACTATACCGTCTGGGCGGCATAAGTCCTTAGAGTTTTCGATAGAATGTTAGGTGTTGCCCTGTGTTTTGTATACCCCCTTTATTATTTCTTTGGAAACTACCCAATAGAACAACCAGCCTCCTAAAAGAAATATGATAAAAAAACATATATAATGATCTTAATAAGTTCAGGTAGTATGATTTCGTAAAAATATTTAATACTCCTAATTAGACATCAAATGATTTTACACGCATTTTTTATCTAAATCAATCAAATTAAAAAGCATAAAAATATTTTTAAAATTTCGTTTATTACTTTTTAATTAATCCCTTGGTTTTGCTACTTAGTGATACAAAGATAAAATTTAATAAATTAAAGTTTAATTTATTAAAATTTTAAATTAAAATTTAATTATATGCAGGAGATTTTTTTTTCGAACAGTATCGCCCCGTCTCACTTTCAAACCGCTGGGTTTGTTAAACAGAAATTCGTTGAATATGCACAAGATACAGAATAAATCAAAAATAAAGTAATAGTTCAAAATAATTCAAAATTCGGCTTTTAGTAAAAAGTATTTTATTAACGATTGAAAATTTGAACAAGATATAGGGAGAGTGTGAGCTAATAGTAGGAATTTTAAAAAATAATGTTGCATTTATAATTGACTAATTTTGCTGCTTTAGCAAGGATTAAGATTTAAATGAAATCAAACATATATATGATTATATTTATTTTTTATATATAAAAAAAACACTTAAAGTAAAAGCTGTCGCGTTACCTTAAACACAGACATCGAGAGTAAGGCAGATGTTTATTAGTATTAGAGATTTGTATATTTTGTAATTTAGTTTTTAATTCTTATAAATTTAATTACTGCACAATGTCTTAAATCATAGAGCAAATTTCTCTCTACTTCTCTTTTAATAACCAGCCGACTTATTTTCATGAAAATATCAATAACAGCCAATACTGAATAAAAATATTTGACTGTTCTCTAAATTTTTACTGTTTCCTTTCTGCAGGAAATAATTATTTTAAAAATTATTTTGCAAAACTCCGGTTCTGCATTTCTACCTCTTTCAGTTTGCCGGCTTCATGATTTTTAATGAGCAATTCTCTGTACCTTTGTGTTAACGCATAACTCTTCTTTGTCTGCAAACTATTCAAAAATATTCTTTTTTCAGAATTTTTCTCGCCAATTTGCATCCACAAATAAAGAATTAGGAAATTATACGTCAATTATGTAGAATACTTCCTACCTATTGCATTTTTGACCCTTTAAATATATCAGCTCAAATGTTTGCAACCTTTACACAGTTCCAAACCACTGTTCTTCTAGAAATTATTCAAGCAAAGGGGATAAACCGAGAGAGGGAGCCATTTTATCTTATTGGGAGTTAGGTAAATATTTGTAAGAAATTATTTAAAATTTTGGCCTAATATTTGTTACCTTTATATTTATTTCACATGATGGGAATTTTAACTCTAATTCTATTTTTTATTGTAAAACTTTTCTGTAAATATTATTATTTAGGTTTATATATTTTAGGTATTTTTGATTTTTAATTTTCTGCGCGTCATTCAAAGTATATTCAGGTTGTTTTCTCCAATATTATTGCAGTATTTTACTTAGGACTTCGAATCGTGTGGGGGTATTTTCCTAACCTGCCTGAGAATTAAATTGCCTTAAATTGAATTAAAAAATCTCAGTTAATCTATTCTAATAAATCATGTTTTATTCAAGTAGACTGGGCAGACGAATCAATATTCAGATTTCCTTAATTATTGCCGATCGTATCGAAAAGAGTTAATACCGCTTGAATAGTAAGCCTTTTCTCATACAATCAACAATATTTAATTTAAGTTTTTCTCTAATATATTTTTACCTGACTCGTAACTTTACCGTGATAGATTTTAAATAACAATAAATCTTTACACGAAGATAATCTCTAAAGTTTGTAATATATATATATATTTGTAATAATAAAATTCCATAATCAAGAATACACTTAAAATTCTAACTGTATGTTCTTTTCATTTTTAATGGCGACGTTCTCTTATTTGAAAGTACGTAGAATTAAATCTACAGCCCCGTAGTCAAGTTGTTTTTCCCGCCTTTTCTACACGTACAGTTATAGAATGTTCAGAAATATTTAAAGCGAACTGGATTGGCTGACGAGGCTGACGTCATTTCTTGGAAGCTCCGCCTTTCCAGAGGCTATAAAAGGACTCGCAAAAGAATATCGGGGCTTTTTCTTTAATACAACGATGCAGTAAACTTCATACAAAAAGTTATTAGTAATTCTTTTTATTTACTCCGGATATCTGATTTTGTAACTGCTATTTCACCTGAATAATAATAAATGGATCCTGTTTTTTAAACTTATCGTCTGATAATTTAAGCTACGAATGCATCTATATTTCTTCAACAATCTATTTATTCCGGAAAAAAGCTCATACATCACACACACACACACACACACATATATATATATATATATATATATATACAGGTACATTTCAAATATCTATTTGAAAACTTTAACTTGCTTTTACAATGATTATTATAAAATTTAAATAAGACAACGAAAACTGTCAAAAATTTTATTTTGAAATATGAAATAGAGAAACATAATACAATCTTTAATGAAAGTAAAATATAAAAAAAAAATCTCAAAGCTTTCAGATTTTACAATTACGCCCAAAGGGGCGTTTTGTAAACGTTTTCTGTGTTTTCTTTGTTCATCGCACTCATACCGTAAAATTCAGTTCAACACCAAGATCACAAAATAATTTCAAAATGAGCATATCTTTAGAATTTCCGATACACAGTCTCGCGCGCTAGAGATATAAATGTTTTTCTTATCCGTTTTCCATTTCTCGTTTTGAAATCGTTGAGTTTGTTAATCGAAAATTCGTTCGTTGTTTCATAAAGCTTGAAACAGACAATAAAACAAATTCGAAATTTAAAATTCAGGCTTCCAAGTACTTATGTTCCATGGGAGGACTACGTTATTCAAAATTTCATGGCTCTAGGTACCGTTGTTTTCTCACAATACGAGAAACATTTATGCATTCGTGCAGATTTTTCTTGATTTAGTTTCTTTAAATATAATACGGGACTTTAATATTTGGTGGCAACAATTTCAAAAGTGATATGCTGTTTATAGTGATTTAACGCAAACTGCCTAAACGAAATTAAGTGTCCTTTTGGGCTAACACTCTTTGGGCTAAAAATTGGCAAAGGATGACAAAATATTGGTAATTTATTATGTTCGTATAAAATAAAAAGTGCATAAAATTATCTACATAACAGTTTAGCGATGATACTGAATGTACTAAATAAAAACACTGACTTTCTAGCATTTATTCGCACAGTTTTTGTGGGAAAAAAGAAATTAGGAAGATTCCCACAGCGCATGCGCTTAGCATGTTCCCGTTTTCGGGAGATGAAAGCTTAGCACGTGGCTCAGTTTGCTCCAAATCTTCCTACCTAGATACACACGCTTAGTTCTCCAAAATCGGGAGAGTGAGTTTTCCTGCCGAGCGCGTGATTATCTTCACTTCCTAGCTGCTTTGAAGAGCAAGCCTTGCTAAGCGCTCAATTGCGGTTATTTCAAGGACCTCATAATGGCTGTTTTGAAAACGTGCTGCTTCTACAATTCTGTGAGAGATGGAAGTTTTGCATGTGGGATATATACAATGGTGAGTACGGTATATTTTTTGATACTGTCAAATCTCAATAAACACGAGATGGATTGTGGATCGTGTTGCAGATTAAGGAACTTCTTAAAAAATGTTTGTTAGTTACAGATCGATTGAAAAATTACTATACCAAACCATAAAAATGGATCAAACTTCATACGGTAGATACAAAAATTAGGAGAAGGGAATTGTTCTTATCTAAAATAGATGGAAGGCTAGAAATTGTTCTTATCTAAAACAGTTTGTAATTTAATTAAGCATAATTTTGATCATATAACTATTGTCATATCATCAATTAAGAATAGGTTGCTATATCTTAAAATTAAATTAAGTGTACAGATTAATCTTCGGTTTCCTATTAACTCCTGTCTAAAGAGTAAAACAAACGAAAACTTTGTTCTTTCTGTTTCGAAGAATGCTTTTGTTTCAAATGCTGATTTAATTTACATACACAAATTAACTTAATTCCCATACTAAACTGCTTAAAAATAAAAAAAAATGTTAACAGCATTCGTCATGTAATTATAATGTGGCGCCTGTTTATTTATTCACTGTCGAAATATGAGAAATTTTGGGTTAACAGTGGACGTCATTTCCAGTATTATTCCAGTTCTTCGGGAGTGTCTTGTACATACACTGAAAAAAACAAAAGAAAAATAAGTATAATTTACTTACTCGGTGATAAATAGTATTTGGTTCAAGTATTTACTGTTTATAATTTATAAAGCATATTACAAGCCAATATTTAATTTATCTTATTAACTAAAGAATCGAAGCTATTGTACTGCTATTAGAACAGTTAAGGTTAATTACTGAAGATACTGAAACACAAATAATGTTTTATCTGTAAAATATATTTTCAGAATAATAATTAAATTTATCAGAGTAATAGTTTAATTTTTCAGAATAATAGTTAAAATTTAGCGGCGTGTAATAGTTAATTGCGTATAGAAAGCATTAAAAATTATATTAATCCCAGAGAAAATTAAAAGAACTACAATTTGTGACCATTTTCTGCTTCTTTAAGCATGTACAAAAATTATACATAAATTCGTGCCTTCTTATTCACGGTATCAGTTGCAGGTGGCTCACTCCAAGAGTCGAAATATTTATTGAATTTCAAAATGTAAGTCAAGAACGAAAGGATAGTAACATACTTAAATCTAATAGTTCAAATCTGCTGGGTACTTATTTGTATTATAATTACGAACACGACAAAACGTTTTGGATGTGAGTTACTTAGAGTTTCTTTACCGTTTTCATTCGTTTTTTCTGAATTAAACTAAAATGTCAGAATTTTATTTTTCATATACCTGAGAGAAAAATGATCGAAACACAGAGTAGAATTTATTAAACGTTACGTTACTTTATATATTATTTATTATATTATGCAGAGCACTTTATAATTTTTTTAAATAAGATAGCATGACCAGTTACTTGTTCATCGTTTAAAAAAGGTCCTATTTACATGCAGAAAGCCAGTATCACATTTAGCAGAAGGTTTGCTGTTATTTACGTTAAATGTTGTAATGTGTTACTGGTGATTAAGCGGATATATTAGCGCTCATATTAAAAGTATTATCAAATGAGAAATGGGATAGTAATTTTGTTAAGCATTTCATTGATAGAAGTTATTGTTTCCTGTGAACTTTTGAAAGATAAATTATTTGCCATCATTTTACAACATGCTATACTTTATTCATACAGTAGTCATTACATAAATGTGTTTGTATTGATAATATATTTGGTTTATATTGTTTATTAGTGTTCATCTTAATGCAGTTACCTATTTACAAAATTTTTACATCATGAAAGAAAAATATTTTAAAAAATAAGAAAGAATAATATGAAAACGATTTTTTTTTGTTACAAGGGTCCGGTTGCTTAAAAGTGGGATTGGGTTAATTATCTGATATAAATTGAAGCAAATAATTTGTAAAGCAGCTTCTCAGTCTTAGGAAAAGTTGTAAGGTCACAAAGCATAGGAAATATGATGTAGCTCAAAATTATTAAAAATAAGCATAATATGGGAAATAAATGCGAAATCTTTATAGCAAAACTTTAAAAAATTGTACTGAGATACTAGAGAAAAATAAGATATTCAAAATGTATCATTAAATGTAATCGCAACGGAATTTCGAAAACATAGTATTGATCATTTATTTATTTTTCTAATTTCATTTTGTAAATTCGTAAAAGCTTTTTGATAATGTCCTAAAATCTATCCATTTCCCAGCGTGTTCCAACTATTTATCTTGGTGAATAGTGAACAATTCACTATTCTTATATTAATACAGATCATAAAATGGATTTAACAAATTTTATTTGTTGCAGAAAATTTCATTAATAATATTTGATAATTAAGCTGCAAAATTACGTTTATAAAAACTTTAGATTGATGTAGTTTAAGTTATAGTACTGGGCAAAATCTTTACAAAATCTTAAATGTGACATATAGTGAACACAGGTGCTTGTGTTAAGATGTTCTCAAAGAGAAAATTCCTCACAGATTTCGTATATAAGATAATACGAAGTAATATTATAAAGCTATTAGTCGCTAATTTAGATCATTTCATTCTTTTATAGTGTCAAATGCAAATAAAAATAATTGCTTCTGAAATCTTTAAATCAAATTTGCAGTTTTTTAAGCTGGAACATCACTATCACCCAGTGTGACATCAGTAAAAATGATGTTCTAATCTATTGCAAGGATTACATTTATTTAGCTAACAGTCAAATTTTGAGTTAAACTTCCTGTTCTACCGCTTCTTAACTTCAACTTAACCACTTCCTAGAACATAGTTTTAGAATCACGTCCGAATGTTAATGAGGAAGAGCGGTATTTAACCGCGAAATTCTACTGTCTTGGAGAAAGAGATACCGGATATTCTGGCTTCACGCATCCGCTTTTTTAGGCTACTCTCTCTTAAGCTATAATTACACCCGGCCGTACTTTGGGCCCTTAATAGCTTAGCAGTCAATTAGCGTTAAGGGGCCAACTTCATTAGAATCTTGATAGCTTCGGCTATATCTCTTTAGTTAAGATTAGTTTAGTTTAATTCTTAGTCTCTTAAGTTCAAGTCCAAGTGTCGGTTTTATTGTAAAACTCCAAGACGGAGTTCTGTTAAATCTTATTTGAATAATAAAGAGTCTTAACCCTTTCCAAGTTTTAATTACTGTCTCACGAATTCAAGCTATTATTCGCTTATTAGTTCTTAACATTCTTCACATTCAACTGTAACTTCAAGTACACATTAAAGAACCTTACACTATCATAATTTCAGTATTCTAATCTTTTTATATCAAAACATTTTTCTCCGTTGGTTCAAAAATATTTTATTTAATTCCCAGGCTTTGTATTTAATTCATAATTTTTAGGGCCCACCAGCGGCCGAGCGGTAAAAATCGCTGAACACTGGTAGTTCGGTCCGAGGTTCGAATCCCGCGAACGGGCTGGCTGCATGGGCGTTTTCGTGGTTTTCCCTATGTGTAACGTGTATACGAGCCAGTTTCCCTTAGAAAGTCCTCCACGAAAGGCATCCCTCCCTTTAGGCAGATAGCCCCCGAGGCTTTGCCATAATCACACACACACATAATTTTTAGGGGATTTATATTTAAACCATAAATTTCAGTGGGTATCCTCACAGCACTTCTGTTTTAATCCTGATCGTAAAAATATCTTATGTTTTAAGAACATTTTATCAAACAATGCATATTATAAGCTATTTTCAAGAAAATGTAATGTTGTTTAAAAATATTATACGACTGTTATGTAACTTAGTATCTAGTTCTAAGCCTGTCGTTTCAGTTAGGAAGTGGATCAAATAATATAAGCTTTTAAATATAGTTTAGATTTGACTTTTGAAAACATTATAGAAATATTAGGATTATTACAGGAGGATTTAATTAAAAATTCTAAAGTAGCCAGAAATTGATCCCTAATCTTCAGATAAATGATTTGATATACTACCCACTACACAAGAAGTACGTTAGGCTGATTATAAATTATTGTAGATTTTACTGTAGAGCTATTAGAAATTTGGGAAAATTGTGAGAGAATTTAAAACTTAATTTTAAAAATGAAAATTATTTTGACATTTCATTTAAAACTTTAATTCAGCCTGAACTAGATAACGGGTTTTCAGATACCGCGTTGATATGGTGACTAGTACTCTTCAACAGCACTGGAAAGAAGTTACCAAAATCCTGACAGCATGGTTAGGTTAGGTTAGGTTAGGTTATTTAATTACGGCAAAGCCTAGAGGGCTATCTGCCTAAGGGGAAAGATGCCTTCGTGGAGAACTTTCTAAGGGAAACTGGCTCGTATACATGTTACACATGGGGAAAACCACGAAAACACCCATGCAGCCAGCCCGGGATTCGAACCTCAGACCGAATTACCAGTGTTCAGCCACTTTACTACTCGGCCGCTGGTGGGCCCCTGACAGCACGAAACATTTTATTAAAAATATACAAAATGAAAGTTTTTATATGCATCCATTACATGTGAAACTCGAAATAATAAATTGTTCTTCATCCTACTAAAAGTCGTTTATTGTGAGGAAAGGGGGAAAAATGCTGACGTGTGCAAAATTTTTCTCATATAGTATTGTAATACACAGAAGATTATTTACATTTTGTTAAATTGTATAACAAACCAAATGAGAGCCTTACATCTAAATGAGCAATACTTGCTTAAAGGATTTCGTAGGCAACGCTTTATATGTGGTTTCATCCTTTACATGCGATAAAACATGTGCAGCCACCGTTGACTACTCAGAAAGGTCTATGTCCCCAACCTATTCGTCAGGAATCAAACTTGAATCAAGCTAGAACTCATAGATTATATTCAGTGGTCCTTTGGTAGACGTTTTATTGGTATAATGTGAAAATCGATTCACATGATGAAAAAGAAACATTTATATATGGTCAACAAAAATTTTATATAACACTGTTTTTGGGGAATTCGGAAAGACGGAAATTTTGAGTAATTTGTCTAA